GCCTTTCCTTTGTCCTTGTAATAAAAGCATTTGTGAAGAAATTCACACTGCACATGCCATCTGGCATCGCTGGAACGAAATATGAGTGCACCCTAATTAAAATCGTAAAATTTCTGACAATGAGCACCGCCATTCACTCCAATATCACCCCTGCACCGCTGACCCTCATTCCAAAAGAATGTGCTGGTTGGGCGACATAACAGGTTACCGCTACTGCGTATTCCAAAAACACTGTGCGTCTTTCGGTAATAATTTATCTCAAAACCCAGCATTTTAATTTCTCAGAAACGATCATTGCGGGAAAATTGTGTGCTGGGACTAAGATTTTTTAAGGATCGATGCGATAAAACGATAGTTCGAGGAACGATAGAAGCGGGAAAATGTAACATTATTTTATATGGGATGTATTCGGGACCGAACAAAACGGACGATGCATCCGGGAAAACGATAGTTCCGGGAACGATGGATAGAGGTTTCACTGTATATGAAGTCTCATCTTCAAGTGCTCAGTGTGCATACCCTCAGTTACGTATCTAATACCAAAGCTACACTAAAACTCCATGTTCTCTACACCATTAAAACATCAACTTCAGCAATCATACATGACACTCATCTTCATAATTTTCACAAGGCCTATAACAATAGTGGTTTGTAAATATTAACCTTTACAAAAGAAAGCTAGCGTTGACGGGTGTGCAGACATTGGTGGTAAAAATATGGGATTTTTTCTATATCCAACAGTGAACACACAATGAACACCTACAGACAAAACTCAATACTTCGCTGAACATATATCAAGTCATTTCATTGTTATAATTCCTCTAAGTCATTAAATATCACTAACTGTAATTATCTCATTTATTTTGAGAAGCCACAATGAGGAATAAAAATGCCTCAGAAAATTTGGTCTTACTTTGGGATGGAAAGTACCCAAATAAATGTGACACCATGCCTATCAAAGAATAATCTACTTACTGATTCTCAGTTTAAGTGAAACTCGCTGAGGGTAGATCTGTACAGCTTCATGGCTATGAGAACTGGTGGTACGGTTATAGCTACTGAGAGATGTCTTCCTGCTTGCACTTGCATTAGTAAGTGCATTGTACTGAAGAAGGGTATAATTGTTGCTTGGGTTCACAATAAAAGCAGCACTACACTGAAAATGTTGATCCACATTAATACTTGGCAAGAAGCAACGTTTCCGCTCCAGATATTGCTGAAAATAAAGAAATAAAACTCATTATACATTCCATGAAGTTTTCGTTGTGCACAGGACAAATTACCACACAGTACATTTTTATGAACGGAGGAAAAGTCCAAGATGTAATGCCACTTTTTATATTTCCCTGAACACCACAGCACACTATGTTTATTAGAGGTGTAATTTCTCTATTAGCATTCCTTCTCAAAGGTTTATTGTAGAAAAAATGTTTTAAACTAAAAACATTAATTAAAGTTTGAAAATTGAATGCAGAGTTCTAGTCATGAAGTCTTGTGCAAGATAAAATGCATACAATACCAGATATTCCATTAAAACTTCTAGGTAAACCATTGTATATTCACATATTCAACACTGATAAGAACTGCTGTACAGCTGCAGAAGAAGACTACTCGGTTCTCTTTCACTCACCCTGTCAGTCATATCCCAAGGTTCAGAGCACCAAGCACATGTGGGAGTCTGGATACATTCATGACATGTTGTTTTTGGAGCACAAGGATCTTGACTAATATGTTTCTTCTCCCCCTGTGCCTGAACTAAAGGAACTAACAGGATGAACAGGAACAAGGCATGCATTGTGACTTGTTTATTGCCCATCTGTAATATATTAAACACATATCAATTACTATATTACAAAACTAACATGCTGATAGGAAAACATCAACACTAAACTCTTCTTTCACTGAAGGAATACCAGAATAGAATAGAATAGAAGAGTTGCCCAAAAATATTACATCATGATAATATGACACTTTTCATTTGGTTTTGTAAATCACTAGACTCATATCATCTTATGGAGGAAGCCAAAGTTTCATCTGACAGGGAAAATTTATCAAGCCCACTCCAGGAGTTCAATGGGTTAGCTGATACCTTGGCTTGGTGGATTTCGCCAGTGGCCAGCAACTTTCTCATTACCGCAGGCAATAGAAGAACAAAAATTATGTTGTGGACAGTGAGCAAAACTGTACTTCTTTAACTTACAGAGTACAGCTGGTGTTAATTTGGAACAGTTGTATTTCTCCACACAACTGAATTCATAACTTATCGATACGCCTATAATGTACTTATTTTTTTGAAAAAGAAAAGAACATACTCGACTTCATGAAAGAAAGTTCAAAATGTTTGGAAAAATGTATTTGAAAAAATTATACGTACATATTTTTTCCCCTTTTTTTATTGTTTTCCAAAAAAAATATTCACATTACTATTTTCAAGGAATTTCACTACTTCAAAATGAAAAATATATATAGTTAACAGTTCTAAAGAAATATAATAATGCCATTAAACTAAATAAGTACGGATTCCTACAAAAACTGGGAAATATTTAATGTTCCGACATTCACAAAAATATTAATTCTATCAAATAAAGAACAAATGTCACACCAATGGAAGGATTGTGTTAATGTAGAAAGTTAATGACAACGGCAAACAGTGAATGAAACCTGAGCTATCGTGTTCACAGAAGCCCCGTACTTAAGCATCAGTTTCATAGGAATTCTACGTCAGTATCTGTGCTAACGTAATTAACCGTGACACATAGTAGAGTCATGCAGATTAAGCAAGAACAAGGTACCTCTATTCAACTCTATGCAAAGAGAACACGGATGAATGAGATTTGCGTAACATATAAATGAAATATGCAACAACTGCCACATTATTCCTCGTATTATAGGCATGGACGATCAGAATGTCGCACGGTCACGAACAAAACATGAAAATGGCGGGTTTCGAAATTGCGAGTATAAGTGGAGGGTGGGCGCCTTACACCACACCAGTGTTGTCCCGTAAGCAATTCATGGAAAGAAACTGAGATGTCTCTTTCAATGCTTTCTGTCTGCATACAGAAGCTAGCACAAATCGGTAACTGCCTAACGCAACGATCTCTTGTGTATATATCCACTAGAATACACCCCAAATTAGGAGATATAATGATTTGCACTGGCACCACACTTATAATAACGTCTTCATAAGCATGTGAACGGTAATTTACGATTCATTTTAACACCACATTTCACAGTCCATCAGCAACAAAAACCTCGGAAAAGCAAAAACTTCGGCACATATTCATGTTATCAACCGATTTGATCTGTATAACCCATTTCACGGCATAAATATCACTAATATCTATTCCAGCTACATTATATTAAATTTTCCCTAATAGAACATCAAAGTTTCACATTTACTTTAACAAGTTAGTAAATGCATGCACTGCATAACAATTCTGGTATATTTCTTCTGTTATTGCCTACAGATTTTCAATTCATTAATGTTTTCCTGTAAGAAGCACATATAATCACAAGAGGCTGTTTGCTCTACATTGCAGGTACTCAAATGAATATATTATACATAAGCCTGTTTTTCAATTATATGTAAGAAAGAAGGCTAAAAACTGTTTCATTAAAGTTTTCTAAAATAAATTGAATGACCATGAAAATGTCAGTAAGTTTGAGTATGTAATTGAACAGATGCTGACAGTCATAACTATTTAAATCTACACGCCTGATGACTCATGAAACTTAATTCAATCTGAATCACTGTCTACAGTTTCCAGAAGAATGACATAGTTCCCTGTGACATCAGTATAAACTCAATACAGTACTAAATAATATAATTTGCAAAGAAACTGATACAATATGATTTGAGGTTCTCACAGCAGAGATGTCAATGTTTGTTTTTTGGGCAGTAATTTCAAGCAGTTCAGTAAACAAACTCATTCCATTACACCTTGCAAATGCCTCAGAATTATTAAATTCATCTACAGACATCAAAGTTGCCAATCTCATAAGCCCGTGATATGACATTCACATTTATATTAGAAACAAGTATTGTATTTGTGCTATGGCAAGTTCTACATCCCTCGCTCAGGCCTGTAAAGAAGAATGTAAATAAATTATATTCTACTCTATCTATGAGGAAAGCAGACTTTAAGTACACACTGCATCAGGTCATTCATCTTCCTGTATGCACCTAATGAGAGGTCAAACTATTTTGGGTTCTGTTATTGCTCCAGAACGCCACATGAACTTACATTATTTGCAGTCAACTTGATTTACGAAATGGGTCATTACACACGGCACTTCTACATTAAATTGTTTCTAAGATGACATTTAATGTAAATGCCAAACATCGGCTAAATTGAACTTGTCTGGCCAAGACAAAGACACCGAAAAATATATATGGTAAAACAAAACCTCTAATCTACAACAGACTTACCTTAAAGAAACTTTCTGAACATAAATTAATAATATTCATTCACATTCATGAACCCTACTTTTATTCGTTCAAAAGACAGTATGTCATTACGAAATACTAGCCACTCCTACAAAATATCACCAACTGTTATTTCTTAACACAAAATTGCAGACTTCTTAAACCATTCTTAATACTTAAGTACATAAGCTCTTTCAACTTACACAGACATGTAAAACTATACCATTCACTCTTCAGCGAAAACAACAAATCCTTACACTACAGCGATATTACCATCCCACAACCAAACTTCACTTATTACCGAAAAAGGAAATCGTATTGCTCACGGATTAGACCTCCTAGAATGAATTACTCAGACGGATATGACGTTCCCATAGCGAAAGAAGAAGGGGAGCGATTCTCCGAGATACAACACTGGAAAGAATTTACATGGTGAGCCATCTACTAACAGTCAATGCAAATATCAATGCTCCGATTACGGTAGACCTTTACTTTATGTTTTTCTATTCTATCCTACAACACTGTTATTTATAAAATTGCGCGCAAATTTATAAATAATTGATTGCAGGATTTGAGGTTCTCACGGCGAGCGTGAAGTTGGTTGTCTTCTTGTTTGCATTGCTGTGTAATCTGGTAGAAGTTTACCAAAGTTTCTGAGGTACTTGCTGCCTCCATCATCAGGGCATGAGTCCACAACATTACAACCCAAAAGACAGCCATCTTCCATCTAGTGACTTACAAAATTTGTTATAACATTATGCCATGGAAGGTCACCTAAACTTTCGTACATTTTTATTTCCTTCAGTCAATAATTACATGGCAAATGTGTTGGCAAAATTTAAATATAACTTGTCAAAATTCTTTTGATAATCTACAAATTAAAATTTCTTCTGCAAAGTTTTCATGTATAATCTTTGACAACAAATATATTCAGTATCAATGAATGTTAAGCTACATCTCAGCACATAAGACTTTGCCATTTTGATTAAAGGAAAACATACTAATTCCTGACTAAGCAAAATTGTCTTCCTTAAATGTTACAGAAGATTTAACGCAAGAGACGTGTTGAATAATTTGTGAAATTATGATGGATTACGTGATGCTGCATATTTGTTTGGTTTACTGCAATGCTTTCTTTTAATAAAAGCATGAAGGATATTCAATTTGATGTGGATTGCTTCAAATCCTGTTTGACTTAAGAGTAGAAGCAATATGGTAATACTGTATTTGATACTGTGCAACCCATATGCAAGGTGACTTGTATGCACACTTCCCCTGACCCCACCCTCCATCTCAAAAATTATACTGGTAAAAATTAAACATCCTCTCCCTTGAGACACTGCCTTTACGTGGCAGAAATATTGTGTGCCGCTTGAAGCGGAGAGCTTTGCTGGCTGTAGCTTAGCTACTGATATGTCCAACCTTGCCGGACAGGTCAATGCTTAGGGGCCAGATGAAAGGTGTCTCAAACCACTCCATCCATTTTCGTTGAGCATGTGGCCGACCACCCACCCCGTAAAAATCAATTGTTGAGAAACCTTATGAGATGCCTCAGAATGTGGATTAAATTAAAAAGACTGCAATGGACAGGGCATATTCAAAGGATGGATGGCACAAGAACCCTTAAGAAAGTCCTAAATACTAAGTTTGAAGGGACAAGAACGGTGGGAAGATGCTGCGAGACGGGATGCTGCCGGTCTGATCCAATGTCAAAATTGGAAAATGACCACAAATAAAAGATCTTCATGGAGACAGAAAATTGAGGAGGCCAAGGCCCGATATTAGCTGTAGAGCCATTGGATGGATGGATGGATGGATTAAACATCTCAGTTAATATATTACAATTCTTTACTGTACAATACATATGATTATACCATGATACTTGGAAGCATTAATTAAGCACATATATAAATCTGTACAATTGTAACCACATTAGAAAATGATGTCAAATATACAAACTTGGGACTTGTATTGTGGCATCCTGTTGTGTGTTAATCACATAAATATAATTTTATTACACTGTCACCTTTATACAACTTAATCAGTGATGTTTTTATAGTTTATACAAACACAGGTTTTCAAATATAGTTAAATGCAAAATTATGACTCACAGATAAATTACAAGACTTGTCTGAATCATAACTGTGCTACTGCTTTAAAACAGATACAATCCTACAAATGGTTCATTTTATCACCATACATTAGTAAGCCAATAACTGATGGCGTCTTGTTAATTTTTTACAGTGATTCTCAAACTTCATTCTGTGACCCCTGCCTACCACCATTCTACATCCATCCACCAAAGTTACAGGATTAATTCTTTAAACATTACACTGTTGTATTTCTTAGCAATAGAAAACTGACCATATGTCACAAAGCAGATGTTACCATTCCTGCCTCTTATTTGGAATATCCACAGTTTGAATCTCAAAATGCTAGGTCACAACTGCTTCCTTCCAAGCCCTTCCCAATATATCACCCCAGTTCATTCTAATACTCAATGGAACATATACTGTTGATGACACATTGTTAAATAAAAGAATAAATAATAAAATGTAAAGTCACAATACTTTGTTTCCTAAATATGACAAAATGGAAGTAAAGTTGATATACCAAGAGCTGAACAATGTGGATAGTGAAATGCTATTATGAGCTTGAAACTGTGTCCTAATACTATCTTAAGCTCAATGACAGACTATCTATCTATCTATCTTTAAACTGTATGACACTTCATTTTTCATAAAATCACTGACCGTCTACAACCTGCAGTTTGAGAAACACTGTCTCACAACAGTTTGGATTTCCTTACAGTTTGCTAAATGAAACATTTCATTTTATTCTGCACGTGTGCTTGAATATTAACACTATTCTAAGTATTGGCACCTAAATCATGTCACAAGTCAATTAGTGAACTGAAAATAACAGCATTTAAAAACAGCACTGACACCACAAGCTCACTGTTAACAATGATACTTGCAACAGCAGCACCATCAGGCAACTTGCAAAATACATTAAATTTCATGAGGATACAAATCATTCGGATAAATCCAGCTACTTCACAATAGCAACTGAATTATATTATCAACCAGAAATGGAAACTAAGTTTATCAGTGCAAATTAGTTAATCTGAATCAAAACAGTTTAAATTTCAATTGCTTTCCACTGTTTTCAGATGTGATGGTTTCTCTTCCCACATGTGAGAACTGCTTTTCCCCCCAAATAAATGATTAATGAAATATGTGTGTTTAGAGCCCATTATTTTAATTTTTATGAAGCATTCAGCAACTATGGCTTTTACTAGGCATTATACTTCAATAAAAGTGCAAAATTTTTATACAGTGAAGCCTTAAATCACTAAAATTTGAAGACAAATTTCATATATTTCACAATTTGTAAAATATAAGTAAGTCTGTCATAAGTAACATAAGTGCATGTACAACCATTGGAAGATGGCTCTGATGAAGAGTAATGCAGCGAGCAAAATAAACAAGATAATGACTGTTTTCACTGCATTCATCAAGTTGGTGAAAATGGACATGTGCCATTTCCTTGTTTACACATAAGAAGGATAAAACATATGGAGTTCCTACAATATTAACTGTCTACCACTGACCAGTAAGTTACCTGAACAGAATTATTCTTTCCCTTCATGTAATGGAATCAAAAAGTTTGAAAGTTCTTCATAATATAGTACAGCTCATGGAATATTCACTAACTTATAAATGTATCAACAACCTTGCTCCTGCGTATAGATAGAATTACTAGGAGTAATACTTTAGCTTCAAGAATAACGTATCGTGTATTCTCGGTCACCCAGGCCAAATGAGGACAGACAAAGCTCAAATGATCATATACATGGATAATCCAAAATATTTAAATTTCATTTCTCTCTCACAAATTCACTCAATCACATCCACACTGCATCATATAATTAGTACAATGTAGAAAAGGTTCAGTCTTCAGCTTCCTCTAATTCTCTCTACAAGAATATGACAAAGGAAATGTGGTTGATTATCAAATCAGTAGATGAATGACTCAGATGCTTAAAGTTTGGTAATTGTCACCATCCCATCCACTTTCTTGAATATTGAAGATTATATGCATACATTTTCTCATGAAAGTGAAGCTGTCAATTGTGATCATATGTATTGTGACAACATGGAGTATTGTAGGTAGAGAACATTTGACAGTAGGTTGGTATGGTCATTAAAAAAGAAGTATTTTACTACAAGCCAGGAATATGAATTACAAGTGTTTCAAAATTAAGAATATTTGGATTTAAGAGGGACAACAAAAGTGGGATGATCTTGGATAGTTCAGTTTAGTTACAGAAAAGGCCAACAGAACATTTTGGGGCAGATACTTAGCTTAAATTTCTACCCCAAATGTATTTGTTTCCTCATTTAGCTTAAATTAAAAACATCAAATATATACTGTATTTTACTGGAGAAATGTGTCAAAAGATGAAGTATACAGAGCATATGGAAATAGGCTGTGATAAGACACGAATGGAATAAGTACAGGATCATGTCCAAAGAACTCCTTTAGTTTTGGGGATGTTGAATCAACTGGAAGTGTTCATTTGCATGAAAAAACCTTACAACAGTCAAAAACCATGCTTCCTTGTCTGTAGCTGTTCTTCTCTTTGATAATCCTCTTGTTGCAAGGACTGAGTAAAATTTGTATTTTGTTGTATTCAGAGCTGAGGAAACCACAGACCCAAAAGCTTGCAAGATTCTAAATAAAATGTGATAAAATTGCCTATATTACACGCAAATGAAATGGTCATTTTGGTATGCACACAACAAATACACAAAAAATTCATTATCATAAAACAATATTCAAAAAGTACAGAGCAAAAAAAAATCATAAACACATACATGCAAAGTATCGTGTACGTACCAGTGTAAACCAGTACAAACTCAAAAAGATTATTCTGCCCATTATATTTTCAGTACCTTCATGACACAAGCCAAATTTAAGCTCACAACCTGTTGCACAAGCATATTCAGAGGTCAGTTTATAAATAACTGAAGATTATATTTACTATCAATGACATTATTGATAATAAATACAAATGAATGACTGAGATTTCCATGGTAAGAAATTGGTTATGTCAAGACAAGAGCACATTAACTTCTAATTACACAAGCTGTTTACAAAAAAAAGTACCCAATTACTATATCCAAAACAAAAACTCTTCCTTCTAAAAATATAAGAGAAAAAGAGGTTATTTCATGATATTAATAATAGATGCAGACTTTCATTTACAATTTGAATTACTTTAATAGTATCACATTTTTATCTCTGAAATCCAATCACCAAAAAAATGTGAAAATCCCCTGGGGACAAAAAAGGGTAAGGCATAAACAGAAAACAAACTTGTTCTGCCACAATGTATCATGAAAGCAAAGTGAAGAAGCCAGCAAATTGAACATTTCAACATATCTGGGTTATTTTGACAAGAAATGGATCTAGGAAAGATTGCCGAGTTTTTATAAAGTGCAAACTCAAAAATCAGACTCCTTATTTTGCACTGGCTTGACAAAATCTCACAGATACCAAAACAATATTTTTCATCATTCTTTCAAAGGGGATACAAAAATGCTGAATACATTAGTAAATGTTTAAAAATGCCAGTAAGAACTTTCTTTAGCCGCTAAAAACAAAGTCTTCATTTTATTTTTTGTGGGGGGACACCATGAATTCTTTTAAAGCATTCAACCCTTTTCTTACAAGTGATACCTTTTAAGTACATTAGTCCTTTGAAGCTCAACCTCATCAACTGTAAGGAAACATGTCACCATTACAAAGATAAAATGGTTAAAACTGTTTACAGAAATAACTGCTATTTATTATGAGAATCACACAAAACCTGTAAATGCAAAAAAAAAAGTATTACTGATTGTTGAAGCAAGTGGAACAAGACTTACCACTGAGCTTTAAAGGGTTAAATACTATTTTAGAAAATATTTGTATCCACTGAGCTAATTATAAATTCCAGGGGACATACTGAATCAAACACCATTTTAGGAGATATACTTCAATTTCACTTTGTTTAGAACATATCATTTTGAACATGCTGCATTTGACATTGCAAAATACCGCATTTTATCAAATTATCAACATGTAATAAATCAACTGGCAGTAACATTTACTGTATGATCATATTTTAGAAGACCAGAATATCCTCCTGCTCACAGGTACAAACAGTATGAACTTGTGCAATAATTCAGAACAAGAATAATTAAGGAATTCAAGTGTCTACATAAGCTGTTTTATAACTTCAGTCTTCCAACTGAATATGCAACATTTGTAGATGTACAGCGTTAGCTTAAATAACATTTTATGACACACATTTCTTTGTAACTTACATTTCTGGCGAACACATCTAAATTTTCCTCAACAGTTTATAACACCCACAGACTATGAGACAATAGTTATTTCATCCTGTCCTTTGATGGAGACATAAAATACATTTCATGATCATCTATTTGAATTCAATTCTATTTCATACTTCAACTGTATTGACAGCATGAAACAAGTGTGAAGCATGAGAAATTGTGCAAGATACTACATTTAAAGGAAGAAAATTTCACGTACTTTTCTTTAGTATTCCTTTTGTAATCAAGCTATGATACTCAAGCATAATTTTTTTTAAATAGATACACAATTTTCATGCAGTGTTTGGTCATTGGCACAGAGGCTTTATATGATCTTGAAACATACTTTTGCCTAACACAGTGCAGTGCACTTGCTGCAAGATTAAAGATTAGCCTGAAAGTGAGTTGTACTCATGTAGCATTTTAGAAGCCAAGAACCTTGAGTACGGTGGGGGTGGGGGAAATGAACCTGGTCTTCAGAAGCACAGGACAAATACTCTGAACATGAATGTGTTTGGTATGGTTAGAATTTATTTTTTTAGTCGCATGGAGCACAGTGGAGATTGACAGTAAAATAGAACACTGAAATAATAAGGTGAGTAGCCATTTTCAACCACGTTTTGTGTTAATGTAGGACCTTGGTGTATACTACACTACAAACGTTTTAAAGACCCTCACATCTGGTTCACAAGCAAAATACAATACAATATACATTTATCTTTTATAATTGTGGGCATGGTATGGGTAGTTATTTTGTTTCGTGGCTTGTAGAGGAAACCACGCCAGAATTTTAATAACTAATCAAGTATTTGGTTTAAATTGCTTCGTTTAGTTGCAAAGTTACTTCCCACTTTATACAAAAATTACCTCATCTAAGTTGTGGTATTTTAAAAAATTTCAGAACCCTTGATTGACATTAATGTGCGCACACACACACACACATATATACAGAGCCTACAGGCAGCAACCTATATACAGCTATATTTCCTATCAGGAAAACGTCTGAAAACAGAAAGGATACACAATGCCCCAAATTTTAAAGACAAATGTTTTAACAAGCAGATGCATGAACATGAAATATCCTCACAAAGGTTGTATCAGAAGAATAATTCAGTAACTTTTGCTCATAAATAGGTTTGCCTCCTACACTTGATTTAATTATTGAGTCTGAATATGGTTAAAAAAAGGAGCTTTGGAATTCAGTTTTTTATAAATATATAAAGCTCAGTTCATGCTATACAAAAACTGATGAAGCCTGCATGGCAAAAGAAATTTACACATAAATAGATACACTGGTATAAATATTTATATGCGACTGCTCTGCATTACAGTCTAACACAGATATTACTGACTCGAGGAACATGTGTGTTGAAGAATCTATACCAGTCACTGACATCAGCTATCCCAGTTCAACCCTTCGTTTCAGTACTTCTTGTACGTTCGAGTGGGTAAGCAGGCAGGCAGTAGGATGGATGTGACATGTCATGTAAGGCTAGAACTGGGAAGATGACAACTATCAAAGTTCTTTAAGAAGTGCAGACTTGGCATTCTTCAATTTGTCAAGCCTCCGCTGCAGGTGAGTATTGGAAGTCTCCAGCTCTTCCACTCGCGCCTGTAATTCACGTAGCTGCAATAACGTAAGTAAAGTCTTTACAGTGATATAGCATATGAAAACATCCATGCTTACATGTTACTTAGAGTCAAGAGTATTACATACTTTAAAGGCACAAATAATTCATATTTGTGTAGTAATTTAGTAAGAGGTCCTTGGTTATGAGCTAGTAAATATGGAACGTTTACATTGCTGCAACTAATATGTTTATTAATTCCTTAGAACAATGTTACCACAAAGAAAAGCATGCTGTGCATTGCAGATCTGCAACATCAAAGATGCAGAATGCTGTTTTAAGAAATGTCAAAACTATGAATGAAACATATTTTTCTTCATCAGCCTTCAATAACCTTCCCACAGCTAATTAATGTTGTTTGTGCAGTGATGTATTAGAATTCTTCACTGCACACAGCACATCACACATTAAACATACTTGTACAATGACATTCAACTCGCACAGTTGGTGTTAGTATTGCACAAAAAAACACATGCATCTGAACATAAAAACTGCATGTGGCAGTAAATGGAATTGGGCAGATGCAAACTTAGCATCACTTCACATTCAAAGAGAGCGTGTTTTTGTTTTGTAGTAGCATGAATATAAGAAATATTATTCATGATAAGCAGTTGTTTTCTTACAACCTTGTTTATTTATCAATGGTGTTTTGATGCATGTAAACAGTACAAGGCAATTAATGTTAAACATGGAAAGGCGTAAAGATGAAAGAAAGACCCTTCAATAACAAAGATGTATTTGTGATTTGAGAGATAAATATTAATATAAAACATATTTTATCATAGTCTTAATTTTGTTACTGTCAATATAATGTTTCATCCACAACATGAACTCATAATGTGCAGTTCTAAAAGCTTTATCCATAGTCATAACAACTACATTTTTGAACTACTGGAGTAAAACTACCTTATACATTTCTTAGCAATAAAACAAATAGCAGTTTAGTCAATTTTGTGAATCTAATTTAAATAAAACAAATCGCCACAAACTGAAGTTACAGTACTCCATTTGATCTCTGCCCTGCAATTCAAAAGACAACAAAACCTATGGACATGACAGGTAAAGAAATGGTTAAAGACAGAATTTTACAGAAAATTTTTTTTCAAACAATTGTTCAAATTGTTAGTATCTGCACTTGCACTCATGAAATAAGCAAAAAAAGAGAATACAATGATTTTAATTTCATTATCTTCACCAATATATATACTTTTAAAAATTAATTTTCAATCAACAAACAAACTTAAGAAAATTCTGAACAACCAAATAATCATGCCTTTAAAGAAGATATTAGTTCATGTTAATGTTACTTATTCTAAGTTTAGCTGTGGAGCACAAGGATTTACACACAAAACCATGCCAGTTAGCAAGAAAAAATTCAATCTCAAGTCAACATGAACCACTATCAATTTCACATTCTATCAATTACTATCATATTTTTAAAATATGAAAATTTATATATTACACAGTGCCAGGAGACATATTAAAGCACTAAGGAGCCATATACCATCGTTCAAAGGCCCTAGACTTCTCAATCAAGACATAAGATGATCTCGGTAAGACCTTATGATACAATCTTTTAAATGCTTCAATCTATGCAATAAGGCTCATAATTATACAATTTGGTTATGTCTATCTTTACATAATCTTTACTACTTGAAGTTCTGACTACAACTGCCAGATATAACCACAGAGTTTCACAACATTGCCATGTTTATCATTTTTAAGATAAGAAACTGGTTCTTATATAATCTCTACGAATGTTGCCATATTTTTTTTACATTCTATAGAAAAAAAAATTATGCTGTCAAAAGGTATTATACAGATTTCAGAACCAAACATTAAGTGGCGCTAGTGTCATTCCCACCTTACAGGTTCACACAGCTGCTGCATTGATATTACTGACAGCAGGAAATTAATAAGTAAAAATGGAGAGTAGTACATGACACCGCACACCAAACAATCCTCATAAATACAGGAAAGTTGGCTACAAATGTACTTTGTGACAAGGGACTGGCTCCAATGCCACCTCAAAGCAAACGACTTAAAGGACAAGATTTTACGTAACACTAAAATACCTATTGCCTTTCTTAATCGTATCTACACTACCTTATGTACTTACCTTACCACTATCTCAGATCTTTAACACATAAACACAATACACAGTCCCCCCAACCTGAATAAGAGCCTGGCATAGGAAGATTGTTTATCCACAGAGAGAAATTTTGATGACCAGGTAAAATTCATTTTGTATCACTAGGAATGTTGCATCCTGCAGTTTGGAACACTTTTTTATGCTTACAAATATTTCACTACTACTACAAATCATATCCTAGAAGTGTGAACTGGTTACATGTTGACTTGAAACAAATATTATGGGCAGTCAGAACAACGGACCATATAATGAATGTTTTAACCGATCACATTGCTGCTGAAGAGCTTCTCTAGCTGCCTCTGCTACCGTCAACCGCTCCGTTAACATTTTCACCTAGCAGAAATACATACAGCAAAAGGAATAGAATGCAGAAGATGTAAAGATGTACTAAGTATTCTACTACTAAACCTTCCAACCAACTATAATGAGAGACACAACAAGTAAATTAAAAGCACTAAAAATAAAACATAATATATGCTGATAGCCAGATATACACAGTAAGTTTTATTAGGTACATCAAACAGAACTAACATGAGAAATTTTAATACTACATAATTTTTATTACGCTGTAAGCACAGACATATATATATATATATATATATAAATTAGTTTCTAAAAGAAGACCCAAGCTTTCTATTAACTGCATATACATACAAAACTAAATCTTATTTCTTGTTTCTCAGAGGACAATGCAATGTAATGCAGTAAAATTCTATAAATAAAATTTGTATCTAACAATATATACTGCATGTTCTCACAGTATTATGCCACCACTGCATTACACATGTAACGCCTGATATATCTCACCAGACTTGCTACTCTACCATCACACAGGAAATAAGATGTCTTTTACAGAAGGCATGCATTTCAGCTAATAATAATCTCTCTCATCAGCCCTCCTTAGGGCACATACTTTGATGTCAAATGACAATCATTGGGAGAACTGAAAAGAGTTTTTCCTTCCTAGACAATTACAGGGTAAATTTGTTAAAAGACAATGCTGATTGACCTTCTGAGGCAAAGAAAGATGTTATAAAAACATTCACCACTCTTATAAACCATTATATATACAAGACATTTCTCACTGCTTTCTTCACCCTCTCATGCCCCTACTCATTGCCAAGACCAGCGCTGTGATGTACAAAACTAACGACAGCTTGATAGAACCATAACCAAAATAAACAATTATGAAGAGATGGGGGTGGAATATAAATTTACTCTTTTATTTAGTGTCCTTCATCTCAATGCATACCCAATAAACAGTGGCATTTAAAATCCTACAAAGCTCAAGTGTTAAAAACGTTGAAGGAGTTCTGAGTTATACTTACCTGCCTAAATCATGAATCATTATTTGCTATCAACAATAGCATTAGGAACAGGGAGATATAAATAACTAAAAATGATGGCTGAACATGATATTCAACAACGGACAGATTAATTCAAACAAAATTACCATTTAGTTTATTCACTTGGTACTATTCTTAAATAGTAAAGGAACTGAAATAAATTATTGTAAACTACATAGACATTAAAGCAAGTTAAAAATCTAAATAATAATTAAGTATAGACATATAAATGCCAAACTAACTTAAGTTACATCGTTAACATAGCAGAAATCCCAGAAATCAAGTCAATGATATGAATCTGAGATCACAACAGGAAGTTTTAGGAATCACTTAAGATCCCTGGTTTCCTTCAGATGTTTCAATCCGTATGGTGGGCCTTGCAAAACAACGGAATAATTATACAAGTTAGTAATCCACTCTGTATAATTTTCATTAGTACAAATTCTATGCTAAATTTGTTGGACATAATATGAAGTTTTTTCCCCATCACCATGGTCGCAGTTATTAACAAAGGAAATGTTCCATATAGAATTTATACATATGTCTATGATCTACCACCATACAAAATTTCACATTCCTAGATCCAAAGGCCAGTTAGTTATAGGTATAGACTTCATGCAGCTACCTCACAGACATGCATAGACATCATGATACCGTAAGGCTCTCCCTCTACAATAAAATAAATAGAATGAAACACTTGTAATAGCAGACATACAAGCAACAACACATAATTCACCATTCTGAACTGCAATGAGACACAATACACAACGCATGAATTGTCCATCTCAGTACAAAAAGTACAATGATCATACGATGTGAGGTTTCGTTGCTCTGTAGAAAAACCTACTCTCAAACAGTGAATGACGACAGTTTATGTTAATAAAATATAATTCTAAAATGTATGAAAATACAAGTGAAAACTCCTCACCTCTCTTTGCAATTTTCTCTTCTCCACTTTAAGTTCATCCTCAACTTTTTCTGCTGTCTCTGATGCAGATTTATATCTTATAACTTGACTTTCTAAGCGTGCCACCTGAACAGAAGAAGAGCAACAAATGGTTTATTGAAATCTGTAACCTGCACAATACGGTTTTTCCTCTATAGGATCACCTTCTGTTTTGAGAAAAAGTCTTTAATTGTGCAAGGAATGTGTACTTCTAATTATACGTATCACACGCAGGGCATCTCTGAGCTTCAACGACCATCACATATATGCAGGCTGATGGCCGGCCAGCCAAGGTACAGGGATAAAGGGAAAGTGACAGCACACAAGCTGACTTGCTCTATCCTTGCCTTTTCCATCTTCCCTTCCCCTCTTACTTTGACATAAATGAGACTCACTGATATCCATCATTCAATGTAACACACACACAAGTAAATTTCTTCACTTACATTGGCCTGCAATGTTGACACATCTTGTTCTGCTTTCTGAAGTTTGAACTTGTAGTCTCCGAGTTGCTTGTTAGCTTCTCCTTTTAAAATAAATTATATTAACAAAATAAATTAACTCAATTCAAGTAAGCCTGACTACTACCTAATAAGAACACAAGTCTTCATCAAAAATGTGCAACAAAGAGAGCACATTCGTATTGTGATATGTACAGCGTGCAGATGGCACAAATTTCATGGACACATATGACTGTGTAACTATAATGACAGAAAATCTTGACTATGAGTCACGAGATTTATTAATATATCTAATGAGTTATCACGTCACCACATGAGTACCATTTATTAAGCTAGCTCCCAGTTCAAAAACCACTGGATTCTACAAACTACATCAATTAAGGAATTTCACGCCCAAGAAGCAATGATAGACAAAAGATCAATGGAAAACAGGAAGAAAAAGTTTATGAAAAATTGAAAATTGTTACATTACAAAAACAAACTTCTTCCTTGAGACGAGGGTCAAGGGGAAAAGAGAGAGAGGAAACAAATAAATGACAATACAAACAGTTTTCAACTCACTCTGAATATCCACTAGGTCTGTGTCTGGCCCATTTAGACTAACACTGCTAGATCCTTTTTGTCTGTCTGACTTGTGTCTGCTTCTCTCCTCCTCCAGCTCTAACTTTAGATGCCGAACCTGGTCCAGAAGCTCATTTTTTTCTTCAGCAAACTTTCTCAGTCTGACATCTATGAAACCATGAAATGTTAAGATTTAGTAACCAATGAAGATACAACAGGATATCAGTCCATTTCAATCCTATAGGTCTAAAACCAACCTCCAACTTAAACACACTCAAAAACATAACAAATTACCTCATCTTCTGAGCCATTCCTACATTCTGTTAACTGTAATTTACTGACAAACAGCCCTGAACATCATGGCAGCAAGTTCTTCTTTGCTGTCCGTTACAAACCCTCACAATGTACAATTTACCTAATGAGCCTCCTCCAGCAGTTTGGAGAAGTTCTGCAGACTCAACTGACACAAGAGCTCTCCTTGGCGTTTGCTTGGGTGTGTTAATGCCTCCTTCTTCTGCACTGTTACTGTCCTCTTCACTGGATGCTTGGTCATCTCCTACTATCATCAGACCTTGCTCCTATCACACATAATATCAATTACAAACTCGCATTTAGCCACAAACAAGACTGCATATACTGTGGGTCCAATCATGAGCTCACAATACTGAAGACAATTACCCCAATTTTAAGAAATGACTGGGTCAGATTCTCCCAGCATGCATTAGTGGGGAGTTTCTACAGATATTTTTGTAAATATTTACTCATTGTGGCTATAAGGCCTGACAACCTGTAACTAGACATTTTGTGACAGATGGCAGCACTAGAGAGGTGGCACATAGCGGAATACCTAGCTGCATTAGTCATTAGAATATAACACCATAATTTATATTCAGTTCCATGCCAACAGATTGTATAGCATATGTGCTTGAGATTAATCGGTTGCATAAACAATAAAACAAGATTTTTATATAGCAAGATTACAGGATGTTAGGTTCATGGATGCCGGTAGTCACGAAGGCACAATGTATTTTACTTTAAAAAAAATCAGATCACGAAATGCCTTCCAGTAGAAGAGAAATTTTGAACAGCGGGTATTAAAGCACATTTTGTTTACAGTACAATACCACATTTAATTCTTCTTGGTTGGTGATACAATACTGCATGCCACAACTGCAGATATCATCAACCTTAAATAAAATGTTTTTATAAGGAAATATGATGACAAAAGAACATGTCTCATCCCAATGTGATACCAAAAATGCAGAAGACTGACAAATGGGGAGAAGCCAATAGATGTTATCGTACATTTTCAAAATGCACGTAAAATAAATTTGTTCCACTTTCAGACAACAGATACAAACCTGTATCAGACGATCTCTCTCTTCCAACTGAGCTTTGTAGATCTCAAGATCCTCTCTCAGTTTCACTGTCGCCCGCTTCAGTTGGTCATGCTCCCTACATTTATCTCTGTGCTCTCGCTGCAAAATCAAATGAAGTCCTTAAACTTGTCTGTTACTTCGTCTTAAATGTAATTTCATTTATTATTGTCATACATATATATATATTTTTGTTGTGCACATTTTCTAATCTGAATACTAAATGTTTATATTAACTACAAGAGATAACTACGAAAGGTTAACATAAACATATATAAGTTTTCCAAAACTAAACTGACTTGCTAACATACAAAACAGAACGGAACTCTCTAGTAAACAGTGATACACATGCAAGTGAAAGTAGCGGACTAAAACCCACTTGCAGCTGTGAATGGGCTTCCTCCAGATCTTCCAGCCGATCTTTCAAGAGTTCCACCTGGTAAGTGAATGATGACTTTTCGTTGTCCAATTGAGCAGTCTGTATCATAGCCTTGCGGAACTTCTCCTCCACCTCTTTGAGCTCTTGCTGCAGTAAAAAAAAGTTTTAAAAGCAAATAAATCTGAGGTCCTTACATCACATAATTAATCAATAACATTTTCAGTAACCTCCAAATAAAATAATGTATTATTTAATTACATAACAAATCTGTTTCAAACCACCTACAGGATTAAATCCAAGAGTACGAGCACTTGCATAGTTTCCCTGGATGCCTGAAACTCTTCTTTTCATATTTCATTGGTATTTCACCGAGAGCAACATATTTCACACTAACTTCATTTTGTGGTAGAAGCAAACATAGGAAACAGACCATATACTGTCTGCCACTGGAATGGACTGTGCAGAATCTGTCATGGTGAAATGTTTAATTATATTATTTATTATTTTTTTGTGGTCAAAATAAATTAATTTCAGTGGAGAATTTTCTTACGTCATCTATCAACAATACAAGTTTTGCTGGCATGTAGTGAATTCTTTAAAAGTACGAATACAACAAAATGGCTTCAAATTTTGATTTCAACATCAGCGACTGTTCCTCACTATCAGATCCTTATTCAATCATATGAAGATCACAAAGGTGAAGTTCTAAAGCATACTTAAATGTCAAAACTAACTATACATACATTATGTTGATATATAACTACTGTATCTTCCAACTAGTTTCATAAAACAATTGCATAATAGCATCATTCCATGATCTGAAGCATTCTGCACATACACACATACAGTACTGACCCGTACATCTCTGAGGCTAATGCCTTCCTCAAGAGAATCTTCTGAACTGCGGCGACTTGACTGATAGCTGTTCGTTCCGCCAAGTGAAGTGCTCCTTGTACCGCTGACAGTGGCAGCAACTCTTGCAGAGCGAATCGACGGATCTGCAGTATTAAAAGCAAACTAAGAGAACTAAATCTTCACTAACATATAAAACTAACAGCCAAGCACTTACTAGTTCCACACTATTAACTACGTAGATTGTTACTGTTAAATTTCATTCAACCTCAACCCACATGGATTTCTTTTAAACATTGCAGTGCTACCTCAAACAACCACATCAAGAGAAACACCAATTTACCCTTCTAATAATTAGTACATATATTTTTATAAACAGCACACAACGCATTATAGGAAAGTTATGTGTAATTCTGCATTATATTCTAATTAAACATGATATAGAAAATTCCTAATAAAATTACATGACAAAATTATACCTTGGGTATATCTGCCAGCAGGGCTGCCATTTACTTTAATTTTTAAAAGTAATTTGAACATCCACCACTCATACACATTTTATGTACAACTTCTCTGAAATGTTGAAAATTATCCAGCACTTTGGCAAACACTGCAGTTGCCATCTTCAGGGTGAATACATAAAGGTTGGGCATTTTTGGAAGCCTTATGTAAAGCAAACAGTAAATGGCAAACTGCATTTGATGGTGTTAATTGGCACAGTAAAAGAGGATCACTACCTACTGCATGACAGGTTCATGTTATAATTCCTTTTATAACAGACACTGATAATAATGAGAACTCTTTCGTCACCTCTGTACATATCATGCACACTGTCAGCATTCTCCTCAATTTCCTTTTGCTGCCTCTCCAGTTCCCTCATGCGAATTTCCCTCGCCTCAGCTCTTGCCTGTCTTCTTGCTGCTAGTCGAGCCTCTGCCTGTCGACACAACAAAAATTTGATGTGAAACTACAAATATGATAAAAGAATCCCTCTGCCTAAGCATCACTCCATGAAGGCATATACAGAGCATGGAAACAAGGCTCCACACATTCTATTTTTCATTTATTTCTTTATGGTGTACTTTATAATGTTGTCAGTAGATCATAATGCACAGCCTCAACCAATACAACGATTAATGAAATGGAAAGGGATCACGGCCTAATTCTAGGCACTGGTCCACCCCAGCCCATTCATTTCTAATGAAAATAAATAATAAGTTCCATGTTGCAGATCCATTTACTTCAAAGGAACAAGTCCCCAGTAACGTTCAGACAAGAAGCTCTGTGGGATGAGAAACGGAATACTTCTACCTTGAAAGGGCAAGTTTTACTACAAACTCTTTAATAAATAAAAATATTTTATATCTTTGCAGTACATGCACAATACTGACAGAATCATTCCTGAGCCTTTATTAACTGCTGTACTCAACTATATGGAAAAGAATAAAGTTTGACATATGTAAGTGCCTTAAAAACATGTTATAATCAGACTTAAACCAAACGTTTTATCTGTACCTGATTCACTCAAAATTTCCACAACATGTGACAGATACGAAAAAATACAGTCAGTAATCACACATCCATCACATGGGTGAAATAACAATGCGAAACAAAACTTCACAAGCAACTATAGCCAGCCCCAAAATCAACTAATGCGTAATTTAAAAAGGAAAGGCAACAACTCACATCACACCACCATTCAATCAAACACCTTTGTAAGAACACTGAAGATAAGCACACACAAAGTGTGATATCACTTGATAACAGATGAACTTCAATACCATCATTTGAAAAAAGCAAATAAGATAAAGAGAGATACATACGGATGATCTCTCATTACAGTATCAAGCACTCTTTACCTTATTCTTAACATCTGCATTTGTTTCAAATCTCCTAGCGGTGGAGCAGAATCCACTCAGACTGGCACCAAAACTCCTACGGTGACGGATTTTAAAATGTGATTTATGATGATATTAGGAGAAGAATTAAATCAGAAAATGCTGGCCACAATTCACTCCAAAACACTACAAATAAAGGCATATAAAACAATAATTTAAACAGCTGGGATTTGGGGTTCTCGTGACAGTGCGTCTGAGGTAAAGATCCAAAGATTAAAACAGTATGTCCCCCTGAGCATGTTTTACTACAAACACGCACAACACTGTAGAAGTGCCCCAGTCCAGGTTGTGACAAAGAACAGAACAGAATTTAATTACATTCTATAGATCCTCCAACTACAAACGCACCTTATCATTATTCTTATCAAGAAAGTCGACAATGCAGTCATCTTCCAATTCTTCAGATGTCCAAGTGTTACTGGTGATCTCTTTGCGATTCATATCATTCAATTTTGTGTCCTGTGATTTGACTGGTATTTCACCACAGTAATTGTCCACGTGAGTAGTTAAATGCTGCACTCCGATATCTAATCCCTCATCCTTCACCCCGTTTTCCTTGAGGCCTATTTCTTGTCCGGTGGTGACATCATCCTTGCTTCCTCCTGTATCGTTAGCATTCGCTGCTCTACCATCAAGACTTGCTCCGGTGTCGACTGCCATTTCCACATCGCCAACAGCGTCGCTGTCACGTACAGTGCTCATAACGATGGGATTCGTTTCTGTCAACCAAATGATTTGTTCGACGAATTTCACATATTGATACTGTTATCTACTAACAACCAATAATTTGCCTGACGAGCTACGCTTATCTAAACGATCATTAGGTTGATATTCTTGTTTCACCTCCTGCTACATAGCAACCTTACTATTCCCTCCTTCATTCACTCCACGAACATAAGAATATAAAACTACGTATCGTACATCTGCAATCTGAACAGATCCAAGCTATTGTGCAACGAAAAGAAAAAAAAACACCAATAAACACGCACTGCGTATAGTGGGCTATGCACAAACGTCACGCCAATATATTTCTCAGTACGTATTATATCTTATTTCAAGCAATTCTCCAAAGAACAGAAAGTTATGAGGTAATTCCGAGACTTTCGAAATTATACGAGATGCGAATCACTGTAAATGAACTAGTTTACACACACGAGGTAACCGCGGAACTACTGGGCTTCAACCGGCTCAAAACGCAGGACAAATCTCATTGAAACGCCCAGCGAAACCAAGCCCAACCCAAGACAACGTAATACTGTTAACAGCTGACTATTCGTCCGTCCCCTCCTTCATGTCCCCTTCCCCCTTCCACCGCAACATGATGTTTCTTGGTTACAGATATGAAAACCTGAATATAGCAAAGTCGCATGCAAGCCTGGTCAAACGAACACAAGAAATGTATTTACGTTGTCTAAATAGTGCATCTACTTGGCCGGGTCTGATGCAAATTCACACGTGTCCTCAACATAAAATTTCGAATACTTTTGGTTAGTGCAACAAAATGTGTGTTCGAAACCTCGTGATTTTCCTCCACCCACCGGGGCCAATGAAGGATTTGAAGGTGACCACTTCCGTTAACATCCCTCCAAATCCATCTCGTACAGAATATTCAGAGAATATGGAATTTCTTTCCCTTCTTTCAGTTTTGTTCATACTTCTGAAATCTGCGGGCTACAAAATCAGTCTACACATAATGAAAGAATTTTAAAAAAAAACTGCTGGAAAAACCAAATACTTCGAATGTCCCGCTCCAGTCTGATTGCAAATTCTGTCACCAACTAAACGCAAAAATCTTTGGGGAAACCCTACGCTGGCATTTCAGACCAAAACAGACAACTGGTCTTTCCCTTGTTTAGAACACCCACGTGACAACGAGCACACAAATAACTGACGTCAATTTTGATTCTTTCAAACTGAAATTTGTGTAACCTTGCATTTCTATCAGTGATCAATTTCGTTGTATATACCCCACCGCTGAATGGACAACCAAAAGTTCTTCTCTGCACACACACACACACACACAAGTCACTTCCGCTCATCAGGCGACCACTTGCAACCGGAACCCCTTATCTCACCAGGACATGAGGGGTGGGTACAGTGTGAGTGCCATCTCGGCAGGTCACAGGTACTAACCAGTACACAATATTCTTCAAAACATCATCGGTCAGCAGACGCACGAGAACGCAGTTCGAAACTCCTTGCCCGAACCAGCGCCATCACAAGCAGCAGAGCGGATGAGATGACGCTAACTGAGCTTAAATCAGGTCGCAACAAAGTTTCCAAACATCTAGAGACCGTCTTCAGAACTCAGAGTTGGAGGAAACGAAGATTGGTCAGAAGTTTGCAAGATTTTGTTAACGGGAACAAATCTGCGGGTTATATATTACGAAAATCTTTTTCCCTTTATTTAATCCTCCTCATAACATTCGATGAACAGCATAGATTTAGAGACCTCTCATTACGTAATTTACTCAATTCTTCCCTAAGACTTACTTCCAGTCTCCTGGGTCTCAGCACCTTGTTCCCAAACACAAAGACCGATTTCCGCGCCCACACAAAGGGATAATTACAACTGTCCGAGTTTTGCACACTTCCTTGTCTTCAGGTTTTGAAAGAGGACAATGATTAGAAAAGTATACTGAACAAGCATTTCCTGAATATTCGTTGCATAATGAAGGCCACGTGTGTCTGTCCACGATACATATCTTACACCTGCTTTACTGTAGAGAGTAATGTGTACAAGAAATAATTACAGGAACAGCGAAACACTGGACGCCAATTACCGAACAAAAGTCCTAGTTTCCCGTACCGCAACTGACAGTCTCAAAAGAAATTATCTCGTCAGACTGCGACACCTGACAACTCTCGGCCCCAAAACCAGAAGAAAAACGATTCGCGGTTTCTAAATGTGGCCATGAATCTGTTAACACGGACAGATTATCATTATTACAGCTGGTCTTACTGAAACAAGTTTCTACTCACAAAACATCCTAACATCTGTGGGATACTCTAGAGCAGTGGTATTCAACCTGGGGTACGCGTACCCCCGGGGGTACGTGAAATTTAAAAAAAAATTGTTTTATGATAAACACTGAATATTCAGTAATGTAATTTATTTATAAGATAGTGTAATTGCGTCATATTGTGAATATTATATCAATTATTTATTTTAATCCGTCTGATCACAATATAATTTTATTTAAAATTTCTTATAATTAAGATAATAAAATATCATTCATGTTCCTTATCGATTGAGAGTCCTGTTTTGTCTTCTGCCCTGTGAGGCCGCTGCTGTCATGCAGTCAATGTTGTTGTTGTTGTTGTTGTGACAACGCGCCAACCTGGCTGACTAGTAAGAAACTTTCCCACTTATTATTCATCAGAGCAGTGGAACCCAAAGAGAAAAAAGTACGCGTCACCCCTGTAGACTGATAGCACTGCACCAGAAGGTTAAAAGCAGGCGAATGGAACCATTTCATCGTGCATTCAGCCGCGACTATTAAACAGGCTGTTAGTGTCTCAAACGCCGAATCTGTTTATTTGCATGTGAGCACGAACTTTTCCAAACGAAATAACTGACGAACTCGGCGAATTGATCTGAAATTCGTTTCTCTTTCTTCAGCAGTCAAGCTCATCCAAATATCCTTCAAACGTGGTTTTTCCTCGGACCACCCAGGAAAATGACGCCATAGCCGCTTTGTTTTATATCCTTCTCAATTTATTTATCATCGTCAAATTCCAAGTTAAAAATTATCACCTGCTGACACAGTTGGTAAATAAAAAGATGAGACGGGTTATAGTTGAATGTTCCATTCGAAGCTCACAAGCCATTCGTCTTACGTTCTCTGATATTCACAGCACACAATAATAATATGATAATAACAACAACAGCAAGCTTATGACAAGAGATTTGTGGTAAATATGTTGTAATGGCGTATGGACTTGTAGGCAGGTACCAACGTAACGGAAAAAGACGGCCTCCAGCCGTGAAGACGAACACAATGGAGATAGCACGTACATCTATGCTTCTCCGAAGCGCTGGTACCTACCTACAAGACCACGCGGCCTTACGACCCAGAGAACGCACAGACAAGCTTACGGCATCGTCATCAGCACATTGCTGCCAATGCACCACTTGCAAATCCAGGAATGACTCCTTAGTGAATACTCAAGTACCGCAAGGATACGCGACATATAAGTGAAGTTCCGTCCTTCTTTCGAACCCCCTAAAAACCGCCGATGCAAGTGTGCAGCATTACACGCTGCCAACTAAAAGAAAACAAAATTACCAATCGATCTCACACAGCCGCAACGTATTAGGTAATGTTGCCAGATTGTGGATAGGCAACACTTTGTCCAAAACACGCAATTCCACTTCCTTTCAAAGAGGATGTAGGCAACTCTCTAAACTTTTACTCCTAACCTACTTTCCTCATTTATGGAATTGTGAGGTTATGGTAACACGCCAGCCCGCTTGTCCACCCAACGATTCTGAACCAATCGATGAGCTTTCTTGGATATCTTTTGCAATATTACGGTACACTTCTTATAAATGCTTGTCATTAGACACACGCGGCTAATGTTAAATGTAAAACTTGGGCTTTCGCGGTTAAGTCGCGTTGACTGCCGAACGTTTTCACGTTTCGGCAAATATTTGTTGTCAGGGCGAAACCTTTGGGAGAGGAGGCACCCTTAAACAGATCTAGAAGTGGGATATTAATTAGGGATGTGAGTGGACGAACAGAGGTGTGGGGTGTTATCAGATGCGGAATGACCATGCTGTTAAGGAAAAGAGAACACGAAAGAAGTTTTGGCGACCGCATTCTTCTTTTAACTCAGGTTGCAAGTTTTGTCACACGACGACACAACAGAAAGCAACAACGTATATTCTGTCACCTTGGCACATTACGATATTTTTCTCCAGATAACCGTATCACTAAGGACTGCGAACGTTTACGCTGAAAAATACTCCACCTAATGGTGAATAATTTGTCTGATAATGTGAATAACTCGTTTTGCAATAGTTTACCTGTATATAAACACCCTGAAAACAAATTCAAGAATACACCTACACCTTGGTTCGAATTCTGACGGTTATTTTTACCTGCTTAAGAAGCGTAAAACCCTGAGTGTGGCCGTTATGGGTGTAATTAACATGGGATAAAATAATAACATTACTTCCCTTGGAATTTCAAAGGGCCTCTTCGGGAGTCCTAATACAATTCTCATGGCATCATCCAGAGTTTACTTCGATGGTGACAAAGAGTTTTCAACCTCTAAATTTCTTAATGGGAACGAAATACAGAAAACAGTCCACAAACTTAACGGCCCACGTTTTGGCTTCTCAGGCACCAACAAATTCCGACTTCCTTCGTTACGATCTCACTCCACTGACCAAGAGTTTTGCAAAAAGAGATAGAGAGAGAGATAGAAGGCGAGGCCATCACAACGCAATATTCTGCCAATGCCAAGGCGTTACGTTTGTGTCTAAGTTACGCGCTTCGCGTGACCAGACTTCTGATCGAACGTCCAAATAACACACCAGAATAACAATCCAATAAATAGTACCCCGCACCGAAACACACAGAATAACCACACTTTGCACATACTTCATGAAGATTAACAAAAATCATGATAAGTTTCATGATGCAATCTGTTTTGTTTCGGAGAATGGCGTTCGGGCAGGAGGTGTCCAAAACACACGCTTTGCACAACACAACAGGACTTCTATTTTAGAGTCCCAAAGACACCCCATAACGTGCTGCGAGTGACAATTCTTCCCCTTATGCAATCATGGACACCAACGTTAATGACAAAATTTCTTTAAACTACGTAAAACATCATGCCAATTAACATCTCATCTTTACACCTTCAACATCCGGTCATCAACATTACCAACATGGAAGGGATGGAACTTTATGAGACGACAACAAAACTATCAGCACTCAATGTAAAGTCTTGAAATATCTGCACTGAGAATTGAAGACAATTAATCTCTCAAGGTCCACAAGTTTGGTAACTGTGTAGAGTGATATAAAATTCAGCACATAAAACACTCATCTACAAATAATCTTAAGGACAGCACTGCACCAGACACATCTACTCAGATATAATAAGGCATATGGTATAATAATATACCATTCTATATTAAGCAAGGTTTAAAAGTTTAATGTCTTAACATTTGTAACAAGAAATTAGAAGAGAAGAGGAAAAGTAATGCAACAATTATAGAAACCAAGACAAAACACAAGCGCACTTAAGATGTAGATGGAAACGTTATGTCGAACACTGCAGTAGCAGAGAACAATATGGCCCATGTTGCTCAACAGACAATACAAAAAACCAAAGATTCCAATTTGTGGCTATAAAAATGAAAGCAAGATAATGACTGAGAGGTGTCAACGCATGTCAAGTGGCAGATACATCTTCAGACCAATTTCTTCTTCAAACAAACTGAAAAATCTAAAAACAAGAAAACTATATATGATGTGAAGCTTTCACGGCAGCTTTCATTAATAAAGTCTTCTCGGGCTATCAGCCGTGTCAGATGGTGATTAATCGCCGACGTTTCGAGGACCATCTCCGTCGCGCTACGAGCCACACAGTCAACAGCCTTGAGAATGAGGACAGAGATGGTCCTCGAAACGTCAGCGATTAACCACCATCTAACACGGCTGATGGCCTGAGAAGACTTTATTAACGAAAAATATAGGTCATGAAGAAATAAACATGGTGGGATACCACTAAAACTTTTGTGTTTAAAAATGTCAAAAAATACCACTTATTTCTTCCAGGTAACCAAATTCAGTCACACCAGTACAAACGATAACCCGCATTGTGTGAATAATTCTGGTGTAGCTGCGTGTATTACCAAGTCTAAGCGTTAGAAAGTCCAACGCAATCTGTGCTCCTTTGCCTCTTCACACAGTGACTTCCCCAAACCAAATGAGACAGTGCAAATGTAAGACAGAGACAAGTTACTTAAATCTGAGTTATACTTAAGCACATCACAATGTTTCCAACGATTCTCTAACCAGTTAAGCATTCCTTAAGCACCATCATATTCATTCTAACACTGGTGCTCAAAGAACAAAACAAATTCTACCCAAAGAAAATCAAATTACACTAACTCACATGTCTGCAAGTGAATTTCTTAGTCTCCTCCTCTGCATTCTGAATGCCTGTCCAGGAATTACTCAAATCAGAAAGTGATCGCCTCAGCCTCATGTGCCATTGGTGATAATTTAGCACATAATGCGCTGCACTATTTACTACATACACACTCATCTTAGTTTATATAAAAAAAAGACACACACATACATAAAAATATATAATTCTCATCTGACATTAGCTTTGTCAGGTAACAAAACTTAACTAAGTTAGACAGAACACAAAACAATGCCAACGGTTTCCAGATTATTAATTGTATGACTTGAGAAATCACACAGTTATAAGTTCCCAGTCACCAAACAAAGCAGAAGCCACACGAGCCACACCGTAAGACAGAAACCCTGTGTCATCTGCAAGCCCCAAGCTCCTGATCACAACACAACTTCATCTAAACTTAGAATCTTCCTAATTCTATTTTTCTCCCAACCCTTCTTTAAACCTGTCCAGCCCTTCAACCGGAACAGCCATTAACAAGAAATGGTATGGAGACAGACAATAAAAAAAGTGTCACTCCACCACAAAAAAAAAATCATGAGTCAAAAAGAAAGACTGAGGAATGTTCACTGCAGATGTTTCCTGGTTTTTGGGTATTAAAAATTATCAAGATTGCTTCAGAAGAAAAATGAGCCTAAATGGGGTACCTGGACTCATGAAAGTAAAACAAGAAGGTACTAGAACAAGAACACCACAAGCACCACTGTTGGTAACTGTGATGGACAACAGTCACTTTGCAGGATTTGAGATTTTCATGGCAATGTGAGCATAAATGAGGGTCTTCTGGGTTGTGGTTCCATGCAGCCTTTTGGATGTATACCAACATCACAAAAGAGCATACTGCCTCCATCTTCTGTCACCTTACTGTGCATCTGATATGATTAAACATACAGATCTTTTCTTTTGCTTCAAACCGTAATTCTTTAGAACAGAACAGAATTTATTTACATTCCACAGATCCTTCAGAGTTCTGAGCAATAGGTATAGAACATGTTGTAGCACGAAAACAATACTTGTTTCCAGTAAAGTAAAAGTAAAGTTTGTTCTGCTACGTGCCGTAAAGGCGCTTGGGGTGAGTGGAGGTATAGCTCCTCTCTTTCTTGAACTCGGCACTAGATGGGGGTGAGTGGTCGGCATCATGCCCCAGTTGGCTCTACCCCTGGGAAAGGACCCCGGTACCCATTGTAGAGGAGGCTGGGTGGGCCCCAGAGCCGGTCTGGACGCAGAGGCTAGAGGAAAAATCCTCTGTCCCCATCGGGGTCCGAACCCCGGCCATCCAGCCCGTAGCTAGTCACTATACTGACTGAGCTATCCCGGCTCATACTTGTTTCCAGTACAAATATAAATTACTTAGTTCTTCTTCTTTATGAACATAAACAAGGGTTATGTTATGTTCCTTTAAAGCTCAAGGTGTAAATTACTTACTTATGACAGTAATTTAAGTCAATTACAGTACTGCCACAAAAATAATTGTACAAGAAAGCATGACCACTACTGCTCACATGTATTTATAACAGCTGAGAATTTCTTATTGAGGTAAATTCTTCTATGGAGTAGGAGTGAGACAGCATATACTCTTTTAGTGCCGGCTTAACTTCTTTATATAGTGATTCAGACTTTTCATAGTGGGAGAAGATTACTGAATATCTTAATTCCAGTACAGTAAACCCCTTTCTGAGCTGCAACACATGTAACCCACATGTAAAATGCACAGTCAATTAAGGTTAATCCACCTAGTCCAGTTCATCACAAGATTTCTGATAACATCTGAGAAGAAGTGCAGCAACCCCTGGGCCATTTACCTCAGTCTGTTAATTCAGCTGCATAATTCTAACTTCAGTGTTTTCACAGACCACTGTGTCCATCATCATAATGATGATATCACCAGTGGTAAATTCCTGAGGTCTCCTGGGCAACTTGCATCAGAAACACTTATTAAACTTTTTTTAAACCTTTTAGCTCACATACACAATCTGAACTGTGTCTTGTCACCATACTCATCAGACTTCAGTCGGTGAATTTCAGCTGCTTTTACACATTATGCCCATAAACACTCACAGCAGCCTCCTGCTCTCTGCTGCATACAGACAAAATACTTGTCATTTTGACATAAGGCCTGGTAGCATCACATGGAATGTGGAAGAATTACTGAGTTCTAGTGCACATATGATAGTCCCATATACTGTACACCAAATAAAATATGATAGCTATAGTAATAAAATAAAGTTTCATGGTTTCTGTCATATTTCATCCACTGTATGTGACCTATTATGTGTGTAGATCCATGCTGTTATTATGTAATAATACCACATACTCAGCAAGTGACAATTACTGGCCTGGGACCAATAAACAGTCAATGAGTAAAACCTAAAACTGAATCATACATGGCTTCTGGGTTGTAATTCCATGTGGTCTTGTGGGTGGTTACCAACATTTTAGAGAAATATTGCTAACAACTTATAAGAGTACAAATGCAGAATACAGTCGAAGTTCACTTATGTCAAGGCAACATGAACAAACCAACAAAACCAACTTAACCTAAACAAACACATACACCAAACTAAACATAAATAGGATGGAGCAATTTGAAAAAAAAAACTGCAATTTGATTTGACAGTCAGTTCAAACCATACCTTACACTTTAACCAACAATAAAACTTTGTTTGCAGCCTACAGTAGAAACATATTAATAAAAATAAATCTTACCTCTTTTGCTATTTGATCTAGAGCTTGGTCTTCTGCTGAGTGTTTTGTGGCACCACGTCGACGTCCACCACCAACACCTGGGTTGTCCATGATTCATGTAGGGCAAAATATATTATTTGCAACTGAAATCAATAAGTCAATGTCAGACGTGGTTGCAAACGTCCGAAATATGAAATTCAAAATAAATGAGCAAAATTACTAGACTGTCATTTATAGTAACCTATTTTGTAGGCTAACCAACCACAACCCTAACCTACACTATGGATACCGTACGATAGAAAAGATCCATACCATTTAAAATGGGAAACATTCATACTCAATGTTTAAATGTTCCATCTGATTCAAAAACTGATAAATTATAACAGACATGAACAAAATAACTTTCCCTAGGCAACTAAACCAAGCCCAGAATTCAATCAACTTGTCAATTTCGTTTTTCAAACAGAAAATCTAAAGAAATTTATAACACACTGGTACTCACATATTACAACATCGATAAATTTATTCGTTTCACCCAAATTCCCATTGTTTGCGAAACCCGATATAGTCAAAGAAATCATCTGCTATAAATAATCAATCGCTCAACGACCTTCATGTCACTATATAAGCTCCGGAGAGTTCACACTGAGGGTGAAAACATATCACTTTACATTTTCATTGCAAAATACCTAAAAAAAACGACTCTTTATGGCCCAATCATTCGCAAAACTAGACTCCAGCTCCTAGATATCACAAGAGTCGAAATAATTAACACTTAATAAACACATGTGGGCCATTATTTTCACTGTTCTTCTCTGCTCGGTTACGCTAGGCCTCCGCTAGGTTTCGCTTGTGCGCTTGCCTTTGGTGGATTCTGTAATTTTCTTCTATGGTTACTCTTTCATCTTCACCACTTTGCTTGTTTTGATCTATGACAGAGAACCTTACATTGCGTATTTTTATTTCAGAAATTCAAATTTGCCCTAACTCTGTATAATCTCGGGCCATGTATAACGGAGGTGGCAGTAACATTTACGTGTGGTATTCCGTAATTACCGTTCTGCACATGACCTTACGGTAATACCATTCGTATGTGCCGCGGGCTATGTTCGTCAAAACGGCCGACAGTCACTTCCCATTAGCAAATTACTATGATGCTGTAGTCATATTTTATTGTGATCACATTCCAATATATTTTCGTTGTCTTCGCTCCATTCATACAATCACTCAAATAAATTTGAATAGTGGCTCAGTTGCGTATCGAGATTCTCACGGCGCCGAGTATGAAGATGACTGTCCTCTGGGTTGAACAGTGTATAGTCTGGTAGATATTTACCAACGACAGCCATCTTTACCTAAGAAAGCAATCCTGTAGCCTTATGCAAGCTGAAAATTGTCTACAATAACACCACTTATCACCGAGGAAGAAGCGAGAAAGATAGGCATGTACCACCTGATGACAATTTGCCAGAATTAAAGTAACTTAAAATTTTAATGCACTGAACTCTGTTGCCTTGTAAATTAAAATAGTACAGTATGTATCACAAAGACGATAATTTTAAAAATGAATCCAGTAATTAGAATGGACAAGACAAACAGGATGAGACACAGTACAGGCACAAAACATGCATACAAATGTTTACTTTAAAAATGTAGAGAAAATGATGCAGTCACATTTTTTCCAACTGTTAAGGTATGTGGGTTAATATGATAGGGAATAAATTGAACTGGCAAGGAAATGGTCCAATGGCTTGGCTTCATTTTATTGTTGCTGTACCTTCAGGTTCCTCCCTGACAGTTGGGTAGTCAGATCTAATTGACTGTAATTCCATATCCTACAGGAAAATTCCAGGAGCTTCACATTCTGAAAACAAATTGCAGACAATTTTACATGAGCTTGGGTTCATTTAATAACAAGTTTACTATTTGGTATTTGGATAGCAAAAACATTCTGTGTCCAGTACAATGAAACAATACATCACTACAGTTCACATACAAACAAACAGATATATGACTACAGCAAAAAAGGGAAACAGGAGTACATTTTATATTTGTGAACACAACTGTTGTTACAGCATTTTAGGAAAGTGTGCTTAGAATTGAATATTCAAATATCATATTTCTCCAAAAATTCTGGAATGTTTATTATGTTATCTTCTATTACTACAGCAAAAATTTAGACCTTTCAATTCTAACGCTGCTCTCTGCATGAAAATCGTACAAATATATTTAATAACAATGTCATTTAATAATATATTAGAATTGCCAAATTAAATCCAAAGTATTAGAGACAATTCTTACTGGTTTAGCATTTCAATAGAAGAAAGTAATTTCTAGTGAAACTAATCCCAGCACTAATTTATGAAAAAAGTACAAAGTATCTGACACTAATGACATTTCAGGAACTGTCCCATCTCAGCAGTTCTGGGTTTAGTTCTGTTTCTCCAACACAACAGGACACAATATTGCATACTGACATAAACTAGAATCTCATGCAAAAACATCGTCAGAGATGAATGGAACATGGATCTTGCTTCATCCATGATTCATTATGACAGAGCAGAATATTTTTATAGGCACACATGCATGCACACTCACACATACAGAACACTCAGATCATACAACAACCAGTTCCAAAAACATTTGGTGCTGAAATAGAAATATCTGGCTCACTGAAAAAAAATTATATTTTTACTCAAATAAATAATTTATAGATGAAATTCTTATGCAATATTTACAGATGAAAACTATGAAAGAAGATAGCATAATGAAGCCTGCAGTGAAACAGTGATGCAACGATAACATAGGATATAAAAACATGAAGACAAAGAGCAGAATCAAAGGACTACACATATTCTCTGTGGAATTCTTCTTTGGGTAGTGCTCTTAGATTTGTCCTATATGTCTTTATTCAGTCTTTCATTCTTTTTGATCGAAACATACTACCTCATACGGTTTATGGACGATGATCAGAAAGCACAGAAATTGTACAAAATTGCAAATTATGTGTCCACATGATAAAACAACATGTAAGTAGACAATCACAAAATACACACACTCATGATAACATTTCTACTGACTAGCATCCAAGAATCATCACATGAGACTATCATTATGTATATAAAAGGCAATAAAAATTATTTAACAAACAAAATACTTCAATATATCATTTTCCTTACAGTTGTCTTCTCTTTGTTTACCTTTACTTTCTTTAAGAGCAATAACATACATATTATAATGAAAAAATCAGAATGTGTATCAAACATTAATATGAGTGCATACAAATATATCATAAAGTATTTTTAAACTGTGCTGTGTATGAATTGTTCAAAAAACATTCATCAAATTCTTGTAACACCAAGATGACATTAAAACTATCTAGCAAGCATATCTACCTGTCTGGGTACACTACAAACCTCAAGATTCTAACAAAAGACTCATAGAAATGTTATATTAGTCCTTGACACCATGAGGTTTATTTTCCACAGTATTAATCCCCTGCAGAATTTTTCATATAATCAAATAAAGTGTGACCCTCAGATAGATTTGTACATTTCATTTACTATCAGTGAAATGCAATTTAAAACCAATATGCATGGTATCGTTATTTAACCATTAGTACGCCCAAGATAGAAAAATGTAAAAGCTACATTTGTCTCTGTGCTTAAGACATGTGGACAAATGGAGGCATAGTGTGTTAAAACAGAATCTTTCTCACCTTGACTGGTATTTTTTCAGGCCACTAACTTTGTTAAATGCTGGACAGTGTGAACACGTTACATGTCACACGCTCCAAATGATGAAATCACAGACAAAAAGCCTTTGAGCCAAAACTGAGTACACAGAACATTAGACATGTAGCAGCTGCATACAGCTGAAATAACAAGTAAGTAATATAACCACACAAAAACATGTTTTTTGCTGGCAGGAAAATCGCTTTAGGGTCTGCAGACAAAATATGAACTGTGTTATCAGAATTACTTAGTGAACAACTTTCAATCATATGATTTCCAGCAGAAAGTTAAGATATTTTAATAACAGATTGGTTACTATTCTTTCATCACAAAAAATGCCTTTGCATAACGTTAGCTCCAATATACACAGAGTGAATGTTCAATTATTTCAAAGTCTTTACATTATGCAGTCCTGCACAACAACCATTGAATATGCTTGCTCAAAAACACTGGTTTTTATTTCATACTACAGCATGTGTTCTTCTTTCTGCATTCCTTCCTATCTTGATTTACTTATTCATTTTTTCCATCATCCTATACCTTATTCCATACCCCAATTCCTGAACATGATTGTACTCCATTACAAGAAGACCAACACAAGACACTTTAATATGTCAAGCATGACTACACAGAATATGAAATTTGATAGCAATAAACATCACTCTGCACATGAATCTTCTTAGCAATGTATGCACATGTGACTGACAAGTATTATTCCAAAATTCTCATCAGCAAAAATAACTACTGGAATTTGAGTGGTAATTAAACCTCAAGTTTCAAGGACCTATTTAATAGCATTTAGATTGAACTTGACTCCAATAACCAACCTTTAATCCTAGAATTGTTATAGGACATTAGAGACACTAAAACTTTATCTACACATTATTAATATCATGGTTTAACTTGTAATCATCAGTAAATGACTATTAATGTAGCAAGCATTCCTAGAAGGCCACAATAAGAGCTGTCCCATCATAATGCCATCAACCGTCAAGTGATATCAGACCCAGGGAGTTATCATACTAAAAAATTTTGATGTCACAATGTTAACCTTTGTCATACTTAGGGTAGTAGAAAGTACTAAAATTAAATATCTTTTGCCATGCTTAATGTACTATAATGCAGTATATAACAGGTTTTTTTAAAATTAATTGGTCTGGTAGTGTCAAAACAAAGTTAATCTTATCTAAGGTAAATCTTCACATATCTATAGTAGAACTACAGACGGCTATCTTCCGGGTTGCCGCGCCATGTACTTTGGTAAAGTTTACCGACGTTTCAGAGGTTCTTGCTGCTTCCATCACCAGGGTAATGCTTCCCTGATGATGGAGGCAGTAAGGACCTCTAAAATGTCTGTAAAATTCTACCAGACTACACAGCACAACAACCCAGAAGACAGTCATCTTCAGACTCACCGCCGTGAAAACCTCAAATCCCATATAGCAGGATTATTCACTAGACACTAGCCAGTATAAAAAAATACCACCATTAAATAGCTGAAGGATAATAGAACTTTTTACTTGTCTCTGCCCTATTTTTTAAATATATGCTAGTGCATGTAAAACTGGAGACCTGAGTCCCACTTGCCCCTCACATATTAAAGCCACATCTAATGAAGTAAGTTATCAGACTTCCACTGCTATGGAGACAAAGTTCATTCTAATGGAATGAAGACTGTGCATTGTGGGTGTAACTGCTCTCTTGCAAGCACAATGAAATTCTACAGCAGAAAAATAAGTTGAAGGAATAAATATCTCAGACATAAACAAAGTCATTGTCTTTTTTTAAAAAAAAAAAAACAGGAAAATGATGCTGCATGAATGTCAACATTTTTATACCCAGGCTGAATGCTTACTAATGAACAAGAAATGCTTTTTTTTCCACTTACAAAATAAAGATTAAATTTATTCTTAAGGTAGGCATTATTTGTGGACAGCTCTGAAAGCCATTTGTGCTAATGAACAAAGATGGACGCAACTGAAATACATTTTCATTTTTAAATACAAGGCAAGCACTGGTTGGCCGGATTAGACAGCAAAATGTGTACACTGGTAACAGGTAGACTTCAGCCCACAAAACATACACAAGTTATATCTTGTTTGTTCAACAAAAGGCTACAGCTATTCTTGTGTACTGAAACTTGCTATGTTCCCCAACAAGGCTGCGTGAAACAATCACATTGCTCGTACAACGTCAATTACATTTTCATCTCTATGTTCATCATACAGTGAATAAAATTAGAAAGCAATGGTGCTTCCCAATCATGTTTCACAAGATTCCTCACAGGCCACTGACAACTGCCATGAAGAGAAACATTATCCTTTTTATTCCTATATATTCGTATATTTGTTAAAAAGAAAATGTATCAAAACATGCATAATTCCAAACAAATGTTTCGATATATTTGAGGGTAATAAAATAATGTCGATGCAACATGTATATAATGCATTACTTTCACGTAACCCAGTAATGTACTGCATTATATTTGGTTATTTAAAGAAAAAATGTATGTAAAATAAGTACAAAAGGATATGGCTCATGTGCCTGCTGTTTAATTTTCACAAAGAAGCCCATCAAGTACATGAAATATCAACTGGCCTTTTGTCAGTATAGAGGGGAGGAGTCAAGAAGGGACTGTTTATAGTTCTCTCTCTACATCTCATGCTGTATCCCCCTGACCTATAGTTCAACTCTGTATGGCAACTGATATAAAAACTACTAAGGCTTTGTCAATCCTTGTTAGGAAAAGCAACCAAGGATATCACTCTACAATTTAGGATTTAAGTAGCATTCAATTACACGAATGACAGTTTCTCATACAATTTGCTCTTCATTCTCATTTCCATGAACCTACACACTACAAATTCTCATCACATTATAGTGTGAGCAGTAAGTCAGGCATCAGTGAGAGGGTGGAGACTTTGGGCTGGAAGGCTAAATGAACTACAACAGAATGACACGCAAAGTGAAAAATGTTCAAAACTTCCATACACAATTAGAAACAAGATATTAAGTCCACAGTGCCATTCACGTATAGGTGATTATAACTCTTTGGACATGTGCGAGTTAAAGTGCATCAAATGCAATATAATTATTCCACCAGCACGTAACCAATTTTTTTAAACTATATACTGCAGATGCATTTCAGCTGTACAGAACTATGCAGTCTACATATCATCACATTTGCTTACTTACATTTTTAAATAAGTAGACAGACAGCAGAACAACAGCTGACATGGTTTGAAGATAAGTCACATTTACTGGCAACAACCGACGTGATACTTACAGTTTTGTGAATAACACTGACTTGAACCAGGGTGAAATTGTATTAAATGCACTGTCTTTGAGTTTCTTAAACCTTGTAGGGCATTATACACAATTATTATGTATTTTAGAAACATATACTGTTAATGCGGTTATACGTTCACAAAAGATAACTCATTATATTCCCGCAGGTAAGAGTATATGAATATACAAAAACGGATTTGCATTTACATGCCTAAACATTTAAAGTTTCAAATTTATATTCAATAAAAGACAATACAAATGGCCTTTGTAATATTTTTATCAACATTTTTAAACCAACAGTGAGCAACCAGTCAGTGGTATTGAGATTACTTTGTGAACGCACCAATGTACAAAAACATGCTAACAGTATACATACATATTTACAATTACATTAATAATTCATTATACTCACTGATGACTGACTTATATTCAGTGTTCGGCAACATTTTTCCACTTACTGTACTGTATTCTATTTCTCAAATCTGTCCCTACTGCTACCATGGCAACACTTATACTAAAAACCTTTTGCAGCTGCTTGATTTTTCACTCGATCCCAAATGTGTTGGTTTCCTCGACAGCTAGCAGAAGTTTTTCATACAATATTTCAGGGGTTGGGTATGGTGGCAAATCCAGTCTGTTGAAGCAAGTGTGAGCTCTGAAGAATAAGAACACAATTCATTAATCAAACAACAAAAACAGTATGCTAGCAGAAATAGCAGTAGTGATCACTACAATGCGATAAAAACAACAGTATCGCCTGCATGGTTCCAATGTAAGTGCATATAACCTTACTGCGAACACTTGTTACAATACAATTATACATAACATTCCTTGGAATACAAAACTGTTTGAATTTTATGCACACTTTGGGTGAAAGCAACTTACACGCGCAAATATAAAAACCACGATAAGCAGTGCCAAGGAAATAATATGCTTTAAGTCCATCACCACACAATTCATGATACTAAAATTCTTGGACTGTCTTATATAAAAGTAACTTGACAGAAACACGTGACTTAACTCTTCTTACAGTTTCTTGTACTTCATTATATTTGTACTCAGTGATCTGATGTTCATTCTGTATTGTGACACTGAAAATGTAACTGCAAGTTTGCTTCACTTACAAAATAAAATGACTTCACACTTCCTAGACCCAAAATCTGATTCCTGAAAACAGTTTCGGTAATAAAAAAAAATTGTGTGTATACCAGTTCTTATAATTCAGTTTTGAAGCATCCTTTTTTTGCTAGAAGAATGTCAATGACAGCAAAGAAAACATGTACTGCATCCTGGGCTCAAACCCCAATCTGAAACTTCATAATTATTGGAGTACTCTTTGAGTTGAATTTGGGATCTGAATCATCCAATACTGTACTTAGAACAGAGGTCTGGGATTAATTGTTAAAGGTTAATATTCAAAGTATAATGCACCAGAATAAAGATATTACTGTGTCCTACAAAATGTGCTATATTAACAAAAAGTACCTTGGTAAACTGTTTGGTTTTCCCCATTTCTCAACACAAAATTTTCGGGGTCCAGTACTACCCCTAAGAGCTGCAAATCCCTCATACGGAATACTTGATGTTCCAGTAACAAATTGTAGTAATCTTAGGCGTTGCTCATTGCTGAACCTTTCAATGGCAGTCCAGAACCACTGCATTACGGGATGATTGTCATGATAACCTGAATCGAAAGCATCAACAAGTTTCATAAATACACACATACCAAAATATAAAGACTATTTTAACCAGCAATTGGAATTAAAGAAAATTTACACTTTCACCATTACGTTGTCTTGCATAACAATAACCATTTATTAGACCAGTACTTTAAAAAACTGGCACCACAAAAAAACTATGATGGAGAAATATACCAAAACTACATCTGAACTAAATGATCAAGTCTGGAAAGAATGTGTTGTGGTGTGCACAGCTAATAACAAAACATAATTTCATTTCTTATGCTAAAATGTATACTTTATCATCAGAGTATGTGCATACACCACTGTAAAGCTCTCATGCGGAAAAATTCCGAGACCACATTAAGAGCAATATAAGAAGTTGCAAAGATAACTGTAAGCTCTGAAATGAAACAGACAGCAGCTTGAATCACACATGCTGTAAAAACCGGCTGCAATCTAACCTGATCGATACTCTGTGTTTTTCCTCCAATCTGACAAGTCTATCTCTGCTGTTCCTGCTATAACCAATTCCAGCTCACGGGCATCAAAAACAGAAACCAGACGAGGGTCCACCACCTCATAGAAACCCCTCACAAGTGACTCCGTCTGTTCTGCAACGCCTCGTTCCAATCGCCATCGAACCACTCGTTCTAGATATTCCTATAACCATACAAAATTGCCAATATATAGTCTTCATAAAAACAGCATTTTTCTAGAAGGCTGTCTTCTGGGTTGTTGCTTATGCCATCTGGTGGAAGTTTACTGACAAAAATGATGACAGACTCAGTCACATTAACCGGTGTTAAGACAGTGACACTGTAAACAATCTATACAAATAAAATACACCTTACAATAACAAAGAAACACAAAACAATAACATCCACCTCCTAAAATTGTATCTGGATATAATGTATTGATTTGCTATTGACATTTTGCAACTCATACAAAAGTTCAGCATAATAATACATTTCTGGAAGTCCAGAAACAATTACGTAACAGCATCACTCCGCACAGTTCATTGTAACAATCAGACATGTACAGTGAGTACCTTTTTATTCTTCTCAGTAACACTGATATTCCTGCCACCCGGTTTCAATTCTCGTTCCACAACTTGACCAAAGAGTTCTTCTGTGACGGCAAATGTGAGGTCCAACAAATCACTGGAGATGTCATTTTCTTTGATCCATAACAAACTCTGATGAAATTCTCCATCCAGGGACTCTAAGTCACTTAAAGACACAGGTCTGAAATACAAGAATTATGGGTGGATACCGTCCTATGAATTATTATGACTCACAAACAGATACCAACATTTTGGAGAAGACAAGTGTCATTGTTTGGACACACTTTTGTAACAATGATCTCAGATCAAATTGGCTCAAGAATGACCTATGATGCAACAATGATACTGGATCACATCAGCGTAAGAATGACCCACAATGAACTTAGGTGACATTAGTGCAACAACAACTGATGTAATGTGGCACGAAGAACTCCTTTAGAATGTCACTGCATTGCAAAAAGCACACCTGTCCAATCTTCTTTAATTAAAGATTGTACAAAGGATGTTTAGAAAGTAATTTTGATAAGTGTATGTACAACACTGTAATTCATGTAACTGTCCAGATTAACATATCCCTTCTCAACATATTCATCTTGAAATGCAATGCACTTATTACATATCTTGACCCATAATTGGAACACATGGTCCAAACCATTCATTGTCATGGACGTTTAGCAAAGCTACTCACAGCCTCAGCAGAGCTTTGTAAAACGGTCGTGTGAAGAAAGCATCCAACAAGTACTGATGCACCAGTGCAAGGCCCAACACTCGACCACTGAACCGAAACCTAAAATAAAGAAATCTGTATCAGAAAGAAAATGATACTTCACTCAGGAATACGATTAACGAACATGAAGCAGATTCTTTCTTGTGAAACTGAGAGTTGATCAAATTGTCAACAAATTCCCTGTCGTTTACAAGACCCGAAGGAACACTGACCAAAGGACAAAGCTCAACTTCTCAGTACGCTACTGTATTAATATTGTTTGCATTAGTAACTGCAAAGTTGGCAATGGTACGAAAGATTGTATCTGAATAATTTAACAATAGCCGCAATCTGTACTTTTGGAAATTATGTAAGAAACAGGCTGTTATTTTGGACAATTGCTCATTTGTACTTCTTACTACAGTTTCATTTATAGTTCTTGCCATCTTATGCCATTTGGATTGAAACATTTAAACAAAGAAGATACTGTAAGTCCTTTGTAGCAGTTCCAGGTTTGATTTGAAGCATGCTTAACAAAGTATAATAATCATTCCAGAACTGTGTCTCCTGAATAACTGGGGAAAACCAAAAATAATTTCCAACTAGACAGTCAAACTTCAAATTTAATCTCCAGTTCTCTAACTATAAAAAAATGCTTACCATTCATGCTGATTGTCAACAAACGCTGACATAGGTGATACTTGGACAGTGTACGTGTCATTGGCCGAATATTCAAACAGACCATAATACGGGTTGAACAGCTCACGAGACAACAAAAAGAAGAACTCTCTTGATGGCCCACCATAATCAAGGCCTTCTTCCCGATCAAACGTAACATACAACTTGCATTTCTGCAAATCTTTCTTTGATGCAGCCATGATTTTGTTAAAGGCATCCTCCAGAAGGCGCTCTCGACGAATCTGCAGCCTACAAATGTGACGAGTCTAAGTTTAACTTCAAACATCCTTTTTTTTAAACATTCATTAGTGCTAATTAAGCAATACTATAGTAAAAAAAAATTTCTAACTACTTAACAGACTCCATGGAGAAAAGTCCTTATAATTAAGCAATACTATTGTAAAAAAACTTTTCTAACTATTTAACAGACTCCATGGAGAAAAGTCCTTGAGAAAAATAAATTCCCAGCCTTATATAGAACCCAAACGTTCATTATAATGTTCACAAAATCCTACCCCTGGTCCCCATACTGAGTAAGTAGAATCTAACTCACACCCTTACATTCCACGACTTTAAGATCTATCTTATCCTCCCATCTAAGCCTAGGTCATTCAAGTGATTTCAGGAGAAATATCATACAGATAACAAATTCTAATATTAACTACTCATTAGATTATATTTGACAACTTAATCATAAATATTCCATTATTATCATTAATTTTGATTTTGTATACAACTGGCACGTTGTTTCTGTAAATAAAGGTACCAATTCTTTAACAAATTCTAATATTAACTACTCATTAGATTATATTTGACAACTTAATCATAAATATTCCATTATTATCATTAATTTTGATTTTGTATACAACTGGCACGTTGTTTCTGTAAATAAAGGTACCAATTCTTAGATGTGACAAAGGTTTAAATTTCTTGTAAAATAATCTTTAATACAGAGAAATGTGATATTTAGTTTTGTGTGTGAAAGCCACCAGTAGTTTCATCCTGACTACATTTTTATAGTAGCAGATACTTATTTCCAC